GACTAGGGTTGTTGTTTTTTACTAAAAAATAATGTTAAAAAATGTCTCATACAGGGGGGCAATCTCCCCCCTTTTTCTTAATTTTGAGTTCCCCAAAATAGGGGGTATCTTATACACGCAGGTGTGTTATACACTGAAAAATACAGTTATTAGAAGAGATGAAATGAGCACAGATGTCCTCAGAATTAGTTAAACCCTTCCTTCCTTCCTTCCTTCTCTTATTTTTGATATGTATTGACATAGGAAACCGTCTTCTGCCAAGTCAGACCATTGGTCCATCTAGCTAAGTTTTGCCTACACTGACTGGCAGTGGCTCTCTGGGGTTTCAGACTGGGGTCTATCCCAGTCCTCCCTGGTATTGCCTGATATCGAAGCAGGGACCTTCTTCAGGCAAAGCAGATGCTCTGCGACTGATCTATGACGCTTCCCCATCAGATTTAATACGTATTTTTTTCAGCAAACCTCTAGCTAATATTTTTATTGTGCTGAAGTTGTTGTTATTGTTAAACCTACTGTCAAGCTGAGATATGCTTTAAAGCTTTGCTAACTTCAAGTATGTCCTCACCTGAAATTTCCTTTCTCTGTCTTCAGCTTCCTATTTGAACCTATGAAAACACCAGACATTAAAGTGAATAGTTAACCTGGAATAACTGATTGTGCAAACAGTTTGTGTTAGGCTTCAGCTTTCACCATGGCATTGCAGGTGCATCCTCATAAAGGCAAATTGTAACACGGAGAGCGGCTGTGAATTATGGACTTATCAGGCAAAAGTAATGATGACATCATTCAGACAGCAGTAATCAAGATAAATGAAATAAGAATTCAAAAGCACTTTAACAAGTGCAAATGCTATTTCTAGTCCTTTCAATAGGATTTCAATCATGGCCCTTTGTTTACAAGGAACTTTGTTATATACACACAACATTTAAATGAAACTAAAACACACACACAAACAGAGATGGGAAGAATCAGAGAAAGTAAAGCACTTATTGCATCTTCCCACATAAAATGTATTTTATTGCTGCTTGAATAATGCAAACAATGCAGTCGTAAAGCATTCTTTTTGTATCTTTTTTAGTATTCACAGTGAGCTTGTGTGGTCTAAAAACAATTTAAAATGAATAGAAAAAAACCACTGCTGCTTTTACTGATTCCAATATTGGATTCTTTTCTCTTTCCTTCTTCCCTCCTATGAATACACAGCAAGTCAATCTGGTCTATCTTGATGGTTGAATAAGCTCTTTGATTTTTGAATTATTCTGAGATTAACTGAATTTGAAATGTGTGCTGCATGCAACGTCTTGCTGGCCCAGAAAGATGAGCTTTGTTATTGACAGAGAAAAGTTGCAAAACTACATTTTCCATTATTACTCACTCACGCTGAACTTGCGTCCCCCACCTGTCAGGCTGCCTGGCTGCCATCAAGGCAAGGAGAGATGGAGTTGAAAAGTTCAATTTGCTATATTCTCTCCTGACCAGCTTGAACTTCACAGAGTTAAAAGTGGTTCTAGCACAAAAGGCAGCATCTCCCTTGCACATCTCAGGAGAAGAATAGTGCACATTATGTGAGGCATTGCCCAAGACCAGCACTAGGCATGGTGTCTGGAAGCAGAGTCGACAATGTGCTGGAGCATTAATGAGCTCTGAAGGGAGCTGTTAATCAAGCAAAGGTCTAAAGAAAGGGCCATAACTCAATGGAAGAGCATCTACTTTGCATGCTGCAGGTTCCAGGTTCAGTCACTGGCATCTCCAACCCTTGTAGGGCTCAGATAGATCGCCATCTGAAACTTTGGAGAGACCCACTGTGTCTACCCTGCATGCAGAAGGGCTTAGTTTCAATCTCCGGGTAAGACCAGGAATGTCCTGTCTGAAACCCTAGAGTCATTGCCAGTCAATTTAGACAGTTCTGAGCCAGCTGGCCCAATAGGCTTCTAAAGCAGCTTCCCATGTTCTGGAGGAGACTGTAGGGCTTGAATAGTCACTGCCTTTACCATGCCCTCTGCTAACTCATTTCCTATAGGAAGCCTTGCAGTTGGGCCTTCTCCTTCCTCCTGAGTAGATTTTTCCTTCCAAGTAGACCCTTCATCCAGAGTACAAACCTGCTGTAGAGCTGTGCTTCTGTGTCTTTTGCTTTCCCATCTACTGTGCTGCCAGAGGTTCAAGGTACAATGATGAAGGACTGATGAACAAGGCAGGCTTGCAATAGGATCATTGGTAGGGTGGGGTAAGTGATACATCCCTGAGATGGGGCTCTTCAGTCTGCCTGTGGACTGGCGCAGCATCCCTCATGTCTTCACTCGGAGTATGGTGCTCCAAGCCTTTTCCTTCAGGATGCTGGCAGGTGGCTGAGGCAAGGTCTAGACATGCAGCTTTAAGAGGCAACAGAAAACTGCAGTGAACTTTACCACTTTACGTTAGCAGTCTTCAGGCGCTTACTCTTGTTTTCCCTGACATTTTTTTTGAGTGCTGCCCCTTGCTTTTTTGGCAAGAATAGAAATGCATGTGGTTGGTTGGGGGGGGCGTGTGTGTGTGTGAGTGAGAGAGAGAGAGATTTTGTTGTCTTTGTTGTTTTATCAATTGCATTGTATTTGAATTTTGCAAATATGTGTTATTTTGTGTGAGTTGCTTTGTGGATCTCTTCTGACTGAAAAGTGGCACATAAGTAAACAATCACAATCACAAATGCCTGCTCCCACATTTCCATTTTTGTCAGAATTCTCAGACATTCCTAGTCACGACGCAGGTAGAATACATTCAGAAATGCCGTTTGTACCTGTTGGCAGGTTTTGGTTTCCACACCAGTTGATGTGCTATTATTCCATTATAGATGTGGAGGGATCACCCCCCTCGCCTTGGTTCCATAAATATACTTGCCACACATCATATTTCTCATACATACACATAATTAAAATTTAGACTTTTAATTAAATATGTTGGAGGGTATTAAAACAGTGCTATTGTTGAATTCAGTAATTGTTTTAAATCACTTTTTGTGGCAAGTCCATTTGCAGGAGAGATTAAAATGAAAGGGAAACATATCTGCTCTGCCCAAACTCCATTGTGTGGTGGTGGTGCCTTAACATTGGAACAGCCCTTGTTGGATCAGACAAAAGGTCCAGCATCCTGTTCTCACAGGCCAACGGGATGCCTATGAGAAGCACGCAAGCAGGGCCCGAGCAGTTGTGATCTCCAGCAACTGATATTCAGAGGCATGCTGCCTCTGATGGTGTAGGAAAAGCACAGCCACCATGGTTAGTGCCCACTAATAACCTTCTCCTCCATGCACTTGTTTAATCCACTTTTAAAGCCCTCCAGCTTGGTGGCCATCCCTGCCTCCTCGGGGACCACATTCCATAGTTTAACTATACTCTGCAATAAGAAGTATCTTCTTTTGTATGAACTGAATTCCCCCCCCCCCACACACACACACATCTTCATTGGATGACCCCAAGTTCAAGAAGTATGAGAAAGGAAGAGAAATGCACCATAAATAATTTTATACGCCTTCTATCATGCCCTCACCCTTACATATTTTCCCCCCAAAATCAATGCCTCTCACCCACCCAAACCTGTAATCTTTCATCCTAGGGGAGTTGCTCCAACCACTTGATCATTTTGATTCTAGGCAGGGCTAATCTAAGTCATGGTGTCTGGGAGGCAAAAGTCCAGAATACAGTAAACCCACAATTTACGTGGGGGTTATAATCTGGGGATCTTGCCTGAAGCCAAAATTGCATATACAGTGGTACCTCGGGTTACATACGCTTCAGGTTACAGACTCCGCTAACCCAGAAATATTACCTTGGGTTAAGAACTTTGCTTCAGGATGAGAACAGAAATTGTGCAGCGGCGGTGCAGCAGCAGCGGGAGACCCCATTAGCTAAAGTGGTGCTTCAGGTTAAGAACAGTTTCAGGTTAAGAAGAGACCTCCAGAACGAATTAAGTACTTAACCAGAGGTACCACTGTAGCCAAAACACTTTGGATGTAATGATGGGTGGGATTGCCAAATTCCTTTTTTCCCAGATGCCCACCCTTTTCTGTCCATTTACTTACTTACTTACTTATTTTGCCACCTGTGTAAAGCTGAATGCGCAGAAGTTAAATGTATGTAAATTGCAGGCTTACTAAACTGCCTTGTCACAATAGCAGCTTCTATCCTGTGCCCTTTCTATGTCTTTAAATTATTTACTGTAAGTTCTGTGCCCACATTTAGATGCTGTGCCTCTGAGCTAGAGTCCTTACCACTGGGAGGGCCCTGGCTCAGTAAACCAAATATTTTCATGTGAAAGGTTCCAGGTTCAAAGCCTACCATCTCTAGGAGTCCTTCCATTGTAGGTTCAGGTTGTATAAATGTGTCAATAAACCATATATCATAAAGACATCACAGTCTCCGCTCTCCCTCATTCTGAGGAAGCACAACCCTTCGTTAAGCACCTGAAAGCCCTGGCTTCTGGTACTGCTCATAGCCTGGGGTGGCATGCAACACTACACTGGGGTCCACTCTCAATGGATGTTTTATACCAAAACAACTCCTTGGTGTGGGACTACATCATTCAGTCCAGGGCAGCTCTGCAAAATACATCTCCTTAATATCACATTCCATGAGCACCTAGCATATATAATTGATATAAATTATATATTCCTCATGTGCCATGCTAGCAATGAGTAATAAAGCACAATATTTATGAAGAAAGACAGCAATTATCTTATTAAATCAGACAGCTGTAATATTTTAGTACAGGTCTCTTCAGCCTGTACTATATTCAGCAGTGATTGTGAGTATAAAAGAACCAATTAATGCTGCTATAACACTAAGAAATATCCCACACCAATGTGGCATGAAGTATGCTCTGGGAATAACAAGATGTGGAGATGGCCACCAACTTTGATGGAATAGTACCTCTTCACACAGCACAAAGCTAAACTATGGTATTTGCTACTGCAAAGCGTAGGCAAGGCCACCATTTTGAAATGCTTCATAAGGGAAATAGACTAATTTTGGGGGTTCTCAGTGGCTACTAGTTTTGATGGCTGTGCACTACCTTCAAGATCAGAGGCATCATGCCTCTGAGTAGTTGTCACTGGGTAAGAGTGTGAGTATGAATGTCTTCTACTTACAAATTTCACAGAGGCATCTCATTGACCATCGTGGGAACAGAATGCTGGAATGGTTAAGGCCGTTAGTCTAAACCAGCAAGGCTCGTCTTACGTAGTTAAGACTTTAATGTCAACATGAATCCATTGGGATAGGCTGTCCAGAGCTTTGGGGTGCACTGTCATAGTATAACCAGAATGGCCAAATGCATTTCACCTTTCCATCTGATTCTAGGAAATCTAGTTTTGTTAACCTTTTAGGTGGTGCAGGATTGTTTTAGAGGTCACGCATCTTTCTCTGGGGCCAGTGAAAGGCTGGATGCAGGTAAACAAACTGAAACTGAAATTAGACAGGTCAGAAGTGCAGTTGGTACATTGGATGAATTGATTTTCTGATTTAGACATGATTGTGTTTTCCACAAAGCAGCAAATGCATGGTTTGGGAGTATCCTTTGCTCCAGAATCTTTTGCTTAAATAAATATTTGAATAGATATTTTTGGAGATTTAATAAAAATGATATAAAAAAGAACTATTTGAAGAGCATCGTTTTTCAGTGTTACCTGCAGTTATACCTCAGCAGTTGCAGTGTGTGGAATGATGGACTGTGCATTGGAGGTTGTCCTATTATTCATGTGCGTGCAGTTCCCTAGAGAACAGGGTACACACACACACTCAGAAATCATGAGCAGGCAGCTTGGCAACCCTAACTAGACACTTTTCTCAGACGGCCAGTGTGGCATAATGGTTAGAATGTTAGAGTGTTGGATTGGGATCTGGGAGACCAGAATTCAATTCCCCACTCAGCCATGGTGCTCACTGGGTGACCTTGAGCCAGCCACAGTCTCTCAGACTAACCTACTTCATAGGGTTGCAAGGAGAAAATCTGAAGGGGAGGGAACCTTGAGCACCTTGGAGGAAATGTGGGATATAAATGTAAGAAATAAATTATATATAACAAAAGTTAATGGCAAAAAATGTGGCCAATAGTTTACCAGGAACAAGTTCCAGAAAAAGTGACTATTCCTAGGTGAAATAGGGTGATCTGCAGCATGTAGGTAACCGAACTAATACATTAGAATTATCCAATGAAACCTTTAAATTACCGTAATCATCAAATTAAATGTTTGCAATTCACCATATTACTCAGCTTTCAGACAGCCAGTCCAAATCTCACAACTCTTGTCCATCACTGATTTGTCAGAATCAGACACCAAATATGTGATTTCTTTTCCCTTCATCGCCATCAGGTGTCTTACTTTGCTCTCAGTTCAAAATACAACGATCAGTATAATAAATAATGATAAAAATAGTCTACTGCTTGAGACCACATGTGCAAAGATGTTTTTCTACGTATATTTTGCTGTAAGAGTATTTAATATGATGAAAATACACCCCCCAAAGAGTTCATTTTGCTCAAGAAATGACACACCCCATCAAGCTGAGTGTGGTTACTCCTATTAACATAAATGATTAACTATGTTTTTTGAAATATTTAAATGTTTCAGAACAAGAGTATGTGTAAAGGAGAAGCATTACTGTTGTAATCATGTGTTACACTGGATTAAGTATGGCAGAAACAGATCTCATTCCATGATAAGTACTATCTCCCAGGCCTCTCTTCTGCTTTGCAATTCAGCCTTCCCCCAAAATACTAGATTTCAGATGCAAGGCACAAAGAGAACAGGCTGCCAAATATCTATTCTTTGCTTTCACCTTTAATAACATGCATCCTCCCCTTTCTGTGAGAAGGCTTTTTGGTGTGTTTGCTTCACACTACTGACATGTGTGCTGCTCCCAGCTCTCTCTAAGGCATGATTTATACATTATCAAAGCAAGATGGTTCTGATTTCAGAAAGGTAGGGTGGGGACAGTACCACCTTCTGCATGGCCAAATCCATACTGCATCTGTAGTTTATGCCATGAAGTTCTCCCAAGCCATAGAAAGAATTGACCTGTGTATGGGTCATGAAAACCCACATCAACTGATAGGCAACTCTCAGAAATCTTCTCGGACCAAACTCTAGGGCATAGAAAAAATCCCTGTGTTCCCCCTTCCCGCACCCCCTGAGGCCATTCCCTGCCATTTCCCAATCCCAAAACACATGCATACACTCTTCTCTTTCCATACCCCCCAATATCCCTCAGATGAAAATGGGGACATTTGTCACTTGCCCCCTCCTCACCCACTCATTTTTGTCCCCCCCCCCAGCACTTCCTATCAGAGAGAAGGAGACTGGCAGCAGTGGCCATGGAAAGGTCATGGGGAGGCAATGGGATGCTCCCCATGACCTTTCCGCCACTGCAACTCAGGATAAGCACTGGCTAATCCTCCTCCCCAAGCTCAGCAGCAGCAATTCTGGTGGGGAAAATAGGGACATTCCGGGATCAAATCAGATGCTCAGGTGGCTTTTGTAATTCCAGGACTGTCCATGGAAAATAGAGACACTTGGAGGGTATGGGTTTCCTTACCTCTAAGTAAGTAGCCACCATAAGGCCTTCCAAAATTCATTTTTGTTGTCCTTCTGTTAGTCCCCACAATGCAGGAATTTAAAAATGTAACTTGTGTGCTTTTAATTTTTGGTTTTTGTTGTTTTTAAATTAACCAACATAGGATGTGCCTGGGAAAGAGTTGCTGGGGAGGGGGTGGGGGCTTCTGAAATCACAGTGGTTCTGAGCAAGGGGAAGTATAGAGGGCACATGAGATATGGGGCACATGGCAACAGCAGTTAGTGACTGTGATGTACTGGACATGCACATGATATTATACAACTATTTAGATGTACCATTATTTGTTTTTGTATCTGTTTTGGAACAAGTTTTGTTATTTGAGCTTTTGAATTTTTGAATATTTATGGGTCTGGACAGTTTTTATTCCAATAGAAGTCTGTTTTTATCCATCCTATTGCTTCATGCTGCACAGTATGACTTGAAGAGTGAAAATGTTCCTTTGGGTGATTAACATTCTGTGGCCTTTTAAATGTGTTTGAAGGGGGGGTATTTTTTGTTTTGTTTTGATCTTATGATGTATTTTGTGTTCTCATTTTGTATTTTTATGTTGTGAACCATCCTGTAATCTTCGAGTGAAGGGCAGTATACAAATTTAATGAATATTATTATTAATAATAATAATAATAGTTGCCCATTCATTGTTGAACATACAAATATTAAATCAGAACTAAATCAAACATATGTTCTGTGGTGATTCCTGTATTGAATTGCCTGCCCACCAGTTCTGACAGTTGTTCTCAAAAGTATAAGGGGGGGTGGACTCCAATAAATTGAATAGGTGAGACCTTTTGCAACGCAGAAGCCTTGAGCTTCATTTTGCAAAGATGCACATCTCCTTTTTCACAGGGTAAATCTTAGAGCAATGCTCCTTTCCTCCAACTTTGCCCCTCTCTCTTTTCCCCAAAGTCCCTTCCTTGCTATAGATTGGGCTATATGAAAAGAATGTGCCAAATATGCCATCTTCTTTTTTTGCTTGGTTCCCTTAAACTCTACAGTGCACATTCTCCTTTTTCTTCCCTCACTCCCTTTTAACAGCCTCCCCAGCTGCTCTCATCTTCACACATTAAGCCTCATTAAATGTCGGATGCATTCACAAATCTATCTGCCTCTCAGCAGAGACGCATGGGAAGAGGTATTCTAATAGTCCCCATTTACTAGGCCCCTAGCAGACCCCTATCAACACACATACTAATAATGATGATGATGATGATGATGATAAAAGTCCCTCCTAGCTTTTTCCTCCTGTTTTTAGACAAGCTTTGGAAAACTAATTCAGTCTGACATTAGAGCCTTTTACTAACTGGCCATTTGTAATTACACTACAAGAGAACATACGCAAATTGAATGCAGGGGAAGCTTTTCTGATACACAATAACTTCCCAAGGATAACTACATCATTTTTCACATACCTTCCAACTGTGCCTAATAAATTGCGTAAATGTTCTTTCTCCCCACAAACACCCTGCATTGTGCTGGCTCCTGATGCATGCTGAACTTCATACTGAATCTCTGCTTGCTGACAGGATAGTCTGCCATATTTCACAGGTTAAAATAAGGAAATTCTTGTGGATAATGGCATGGAGTCAACAAGGGAATTATGGGGGTCTGCCACCTTCAGGAATATTCCAGCCCCAGCCCCAGCCCAATTTCTAGCTTGTTTTTTAAAATATGTTTTTTTACTTAGGGAGCTATAAGGGAAACTGTGTGTTCTTATTTTGCCCAATTCCTCCCCAAGTGGTAAACTAGCTTCCTAAAATATTATTCTACTCTGTCATGCATGCTTTAGTTGAGATTGCTGTAAGGCAGGGGATTGAACTGTGTGACACTCAGGGTCCCTTCCTACTCTGCAATTCTAGAATTCAGCTAAATCACAGTCAGAGTAGACAATGGTTTTAGTTAAGTTGGATCAATGAGTCTAAGTATGGCTTGGTTAGCTACAAGCCAAAATCAAAGGGAGAGAAAATGTATCATCATTTTTTAACAATAAATATTTGCATACACAAATTTCTATTTACAGATGCAAATTCAGTAATTTCTAATTTAAATAGAGATACACCTAACCATAAGTAACCAGGTATCCCAGCTGCTGGCCCAGTCTGCTATCAAGGTACCTCAGTGTTGATGGACAAGTCCAGAGTGTCTGCTCTCCTTTTTTATGCTTTATCTTTAACCAGGAGGGGGGCAGGATGGTCCTTCATGTAGAAGACACCTTCAAATAGAGCACCCACTATCCTCCAACAGCCCTCTGTAGGTGACATCCTGCTGCTTCTGAATTCCCAAGTCCCAATATTCCTCAAATATCCTGGGAGTGACTGCTCAGAAATAGGACTTTGCATCTGATAAAGTGGAAGATTCATTATTGGGGGGGGGGGTTCAAGCAGGAGAAAGAACCACAGGATTAAACTGTGCCAGGAGAGGCAGTTTTAGGGTGGAACAAACAAAGCACAGAGTGTTAGAGGCAGGGGGCACCAGATTTTAGCATCATACAGGGTGCCGCCCAAAGTCCACCAATAGTGCCAGATGCCTTGTTGGTGAGCTGGTGAACCTTTAGAAAGATGAATTTCCATTTGTGGCTTCTGCTGAAGAGAATCTGCCAGTGTTTGCTTGCATCTGCAGATACATTGAGCCAGAAATGTCAGGGAACCATCACAGAACAACCAGATGTACACGAATAGAAGTAGCTCAATAAACTATGTATTAATGCACTAACTAGTTTAAGAGCAAGAGAGAGAAAGAGAGAAAAGAAATAGAAAAGAAGGCTCTAGTGCTTGCCAGTTGTTCTGTTCATTGGCCAGAAATTGGAAGACAGAAACATTTTTTCTTTGTTGTGAGCAATGGGGAAGAACTGGAGGCTTTCATTTTAAACAGGAAGCAGAACATTCAGGGGGTGAGTTCAGGGTTCCCATGCAAGGCCAGGGTCTCTCAGACCTCATCATGACTGTGGTCCTTTTCAAATGCATCAACTGAAATCATTAAGACGTGGGTTTTGGCTGAACTGCGCTTACTTTTTTCTTCCTTCACTGACCTTCACAACATCTCCCTTTTTAGATACTCATTACTGCTGCTTGAAAGGCATATTAGTTTGTCTAATGGTGACTTTCCTTCAGCAAATATATTTTCTCAAACAGGAGAGTGAGCTCTGACATTTTACATGGCTACTCCTTTCTGGGCCATTCAGCTGCATGAATGAATTCCAATCTCTGGGCAGTTTCCAAACTGAAACGGTGGTTTGGGGTGACATGGGCATATAGCACTGTCACCCTGACAACCTCCATTTCAGAAGCCTCCTGCAGCAGGCACTTTTTCCTGTGGTGACATCATGCCACCTGTAATATTGGCCGCCTCACCCTTGCTTGTCTGATGCTGAATATCTCACCTTTTGTCAGGGTAAAAACTCTGCTATCACCTGTCTTTGTTCTTGGACAGCTCCTCTTTAAGACCATCTCTTGAGGAGGCTGTCTTGACTTCAAACACCACATTTACTAGTTTCAGAAATTATAAGAAGTAAGAGAGTCATTACTTATTATCAGGGCTTTCTTGCCTTCCAGAAATCATTACACCACCTTTCCTCCAAAGAGCTTCAGATGGTGTATATGATATTCTTCCTCCTCATTATATCCTGACAGCAACCTTATGAGGTAGGCTAGATTGAGAGATGGTCACATGGCAAGGTTCATGGCTGAATGGGGATTTGAACCCTTGTCTCCCAGACCCCAGTCTAACACTAGGAACATCACTGGCTTTTTGCCTTCCACTTGCTACAGGCCTCACTGCTTACAATTCCCCCACTTAGGATAACATGATATGCATCTGTTGGAGTGAACTCTAGTGCACTAAAGCTTATGCCATAATAAATTGGATACTCTTTAAGATGCCACTAGACTCTTTGTTGGTTTTGAATGTGATGCCAATGAAGAGGAATAAGCGGCAGATGCTTTTAAATTAAGTCTAGTGCATTATGTAATCTTTGCTCACACTTAATCTCAGCCTTCTAGCACCTAATAAGAAGTGGGAAATTACATTTATGCTTTGCCAGCCTATCAGTTCTGTCAAGTTGAGGTAGTTTTGAAGTCTATCCATCATTTCCATGCACATAAAATTTATTGTCATTCAGCATATTTTATATATCCACATACATTTTATTTCAGGGGTGTTTGGCCAGTATGTTTCTTCCTTTAGGCATTTATAGATGTAGTGCTTAGCATAAGCCAAAGAATGCTTTAGCACTAAGAGGCTGCAGAGCTTGATAATATTAGGGAGACATTGTATAGTGCCGCTTGATGACATGAGTGAGTGGAACAGATTGCTTCCACTTAAGTGCAAGTAACAGTCAAGTAAGATCTCAGACAAAAGGTATTAGGAATTTACAAACTCTTAAATTGGGCTTCTCTGTGAATCCTCTGCTAATGCTTTTTCTCCATCTAACTTTTTCTCTTTCTGCCACCTCCTTTGCTCTTTCCGCACCATGCAACACACATTAGATTAAGTAAAGGGGTTCAGGTTTCCCATCTCTGCTTTAACAGAACACGACTGGCCCTCTCATACCTGCTGTTCACTGCTTGGCCCCCACATTATGTCCTGATGGTTTGGGAGAAGGGGGACACCAACTGTGGGCAAAGCAGTGGATGCAGCTCTTTCCCTACCACCCTGCACCTTACATAAGAACAGCTTGCTAGATCAGGCCACTGGCCCATCAAGTCGAACATTGTTTTCACAGTGGCTGATCAAGCAAGACCTGAGCACAAGAGCACTATCCCCCACTCCTGTGGTTTCTAGCAACTGTATTGGGAAGCATTTCTGCCTGCAGCAGCATTGCAAAGGTACCATGGCTAGGGTTTTAGCAAAAATGCAGTTAATGGCTAGAATCACCTGATAGAGGTAAGGTGGGTGGAGGAAACATGTTGGAAGGAAGTCCACTCCCTCCGTTGTAGCCTCACATGTGCTATTGACTGAAACTTTGGTTAGGGAAAGGAGACAGATGCCTCCAACATCATCACAGTAAATTATCGCCTTCCCCTAGACCATCATGAGATGGTTTAGGGACCACTACCCTTAAATTATACGCCTGTTTCAGCCCCATCACCTCAAATTTGGCCAAAACATCAGTTTTGATTGAATTTGGTACAGTCCTCATCATTACAGATAATGAAAACCAACAAAGAAGGTCATGATGAATTCTCATTTTCGCAGCTGGGAAACTCGGGTCTAGAAGCAATGAGGCATACTCAAGGCATACTCAAGAACTGGCAACGCCTTGCAAGAGGTGGGATATTCTGGCAGCCATGCATGGGTGAATATTTTTCTATCTGAAGTTTAGGTTTACATTTCCACGTACGTTTTTATTTTGTTTTTTAACTCCTCATACAATCAGTAGTAAAGGCATAATTGTTGGGTGTGCTGATGCTCCCCCATGCAACAATGCATGAGGGAAGTTTGAACACCCTGTAGATTTTAAGCTCCTTGGGGAAGAGCAGCCTCTCCTTAAATTCTTTCTGGAGTGCCACTTTGTGTCATTAATAACAACTAAACAAGCAATATGTGTGCATCTAGTCATGGGGAAGGTCTGCAAGGAGCAGGGCCATCTTAAGCATATCCTGCACCGTGGTGCAAATATCTCTCTGCCCCACCCCCCCGTGCATTTTCCAGAGTTGTCTACCTTTTTTAAGGCGGGGACTTTGGTTTGGCTCGTTTACATCTCATGGTTCGATGCACACTCGGTGCTGCTTGTAAGTAAGAGGCGCCTGGATCGCAGCCCAGACGGCCTCCTGTACCCTCCTGTGAAGCCTCCCTCTAGCCGCTCTGAGCCCGGCCTTGGCTGGGGAGGGCGGGGTATAAATAAAAAATATTATTATTATTATTATTATTATTAGTGCTCACAACAGGAGGACCAGCAAGCAGATCAGGTGGCTCGCCTGACTCCACAGGGAGGTGCGCAGGCAGTGACGTGGCCAGAGAGGGGCAGTAGAGACACATACGCCCCGTCCCACGCCCACCCCCAATTGCACCCACCAGGCACCCAGGCAGCCCCGGCGGGAAGGGACGCGAAGGGGCTTCCCTGAGCCGGACACAGCGTGCTCCAATGGGTGGCTGAGAGGAGAGGAGTGGGCTGTCCCAAAGCAGAGAAGGGAGGGCGCCCTGACTCTCCTTCCCGGACACTCAGCCTGTGGCACCCTCCAAAATCTGGTGCCCTGGTACCCTGCGCCACTAACGTCTATGGGTAAGACGCCCCTGGCAAGGAGGCTTGTACTTGTGCTTGCTTGAACATGAAAAGAACCCTCAATGTGCTTGTGGGTCATGGTAAAGCAAGATCATGCAAGGCATTCCACTTGCGTTCAAGTAGGCAGAAGTGAAAGCCTCCCGTGGACTTTTTCCTGAAATGTCCTGGTTTTCAGGTGTAAAAATGGTGTTGGGGGGGAATTTTGTCAAATCAGCAAAAATGTCAGGGGAAACCCGGACGTATGGCAACTCAATGGGAAAAGCAGCAGAAACAGCTTAAAATAACTAATTTTGGGTTTGTTCCTCCAACAATGGTTTCCTCAACAATGTTGGGATGTTGGGGTCTTCCTAAAAAAAACCCAGGAATTTTATTTTTTTAAATATGGCAACCCTATTTTTTCCAGCCAACGTGGACATTTTCAGGGACTGAGCATGATAGGAACATGGTGAGCAGGATTTCCTGCATTCCATCTACAGATTCAGTTTCACATGTTCATGCAGGCACCAGGACATACCTGTAGATGCGCACACATCCAAATACAAGAGCACAACAAACCCCCACAACAAACACTCTGTGAGGTGAGTGGGGCTGAGAGACTTCAATGAAGTGTGACTAGCCCAAGGTCACCCAGCAGCTGCATGTGGAGGAGCGGGGATGCAAACCCGGTTCACCAGATTACGAGTCCACTGCTCTTAACCACTACACCACACTGGCTCTCTGGTTTAGGCTCAGTGGTGTTTGGGGCCCCTGAGCTGCAGGTTACTTACCTGACAAAAGAGAGAGAAACGTGCCTTAGATGAGATGAAGACAGTTGAAAACAGTTAGTTAAACAGTAATGATCTTCCTGTAAAAAAAAGAAGAAAAGTCTTGTTTGAAGATAATGGTGTGGGAATGAATAGGGTTGAAAGAGGTTAATTATAAATCTAATTTAGGAAATCTATAGATCAAAGTATAAAATGCAAGCATTACCTTGGGTCACATATAGTTATAGAAACTTAAATAAAACAGAACATAATTTAGAAAGATCTTTTGTTTAAAATGTTGTACAGTACTCTTTGTTTTGCAGCTTCTGCTTAGTCATGAGAAAACAGAGTATATAAGGCTATGGCCCAGAGATGGACTAGGATGCAAACAGGAAAAATCTGTGCACCTCGCTTGGCTTGATTCTGTTGTACTTTTTAGTAGCTATTGTAACAGTCTTAGATTAAGAGAAACCTCTTTACCTTATCATTGTTTTGTGATTGTTGTGTTACAATCACCATATGATGCATTGACTCAAAATTGTTCAAAGTCTAAAGGAAAACAAAATAGTTAAGAAATTCCCTATCTTATTCTTTGGTATAACTTAAATGTATGCTCTCTCTGTTGGACCCTTGGGAGCAAGTTTTGCATTAATGTGAACCAACCTAATTTCCACTTCCCAAAACAATATACAAACTGAAATACAAATATCCTTCAAAATCTGCATTATTCTGAATACTGCAATGCAGTCATCCAACCTATAAATAAATAAATGCAGTAAAAGCATATATCAGAGGAGAGTGTGCATAAATATGTGTTGGCATCCATCTGTCTTGGGAGACAATGGAAGAGTGTGTCTTTGAGGGTGAAGTCAGAGTGTGTTGGTGAAGTTGGAAGGTTGCAATGCCTTCTGTGGCTTTAAAAACCGATATGGGAGAGACATGTTTTGTTGCAGCAAGATCAGATGAAGGTGCCTGGTTGTGCTGCTGCAGATGCACCATGGCATTTCTTCTCTCTGTTATCAGAATCTGGGGGAACTCTGAATACTCAACTTTCCATTCAGATGCCACACCTGCTTTATGACATGTTTATGACAAGTGCATGACACTTTTTCCAAGGTGTTGTGGGTAACCACGAGCAACTTTTGTTCAGGGTTTCTCTCTGCTTCTTTTATGATGTAGTTTGAAGTCTTGTTGCAACAATAAAGATCAGGCCTCCTGGCCACTGTTTTGCTTCACTATCTTGGCCAGAGCCTTTTGTTTGACTATCCAACTTGAGCACAGGGTATTCCTCGCTACATCTCTGTGCTCCTCCCAGAGGTAATTCCTCCTCTGGTCACTGCTGTGGATACACAACCAGACTGTCTCCAGGCACTACAGTCATATGCAAGGCAAGGTTGTTGTTGCCAGCCTTCATGTCATGTTTGCAGATATCTTTGTAATGCAAAGTTGGTCTGCCAATGGACCTGGAGCTAACTCCCCATAGAACAAATCCTTGGGGATCCTGCCATCTTCTATTCTGTGGTAATGACCAAGCCAAAGTAGATATGGCTGAGACAGGAGTGGAACATGTGTATATTAATGGAAATTGTCCTTTGCCTACAACAGAAATTATGTAGGATATTCTTGGATATTGGTTTAAGTCCATGGCAGGACTGGGCAACCTTTGACCTTGGACTCCAACTCCCATCATCTAGGACTAGGGCTGATGGGAGCTGCAGCACAACATATGGAGAGTAACATGTTCACTATCTCTGGTCTATGGAAAGGGCCCTCACAGTCTCACTTTCTCTGTGCAATCCTAAATATAATGGACTTTTCTCACTAGAAACAATAGGATAAAGCATGCATAAAATACCGTATTTTTCCATGTATAAGACTAGGGGTTTTTTAACCCAAAAATTAGGTTTCAAATTGGGGCTCGTCTTATACACGGGTAGTGCTGAGGGGCGTTTTCTTAATTTGGAGTCCCCCAAAAATTGTTGTTGTTGTTTAGTCATTTAGTCGTGTCCGACTCTTCGTGACCCCATGGACCAGAGCATGCCAGGCACTCCTGTCTTCACCCCCAAAATAGGGGGTGTCTTATACATGGGGATGTCTTATACACAGAAAAATACAGTAATCTAGTATTACAGTAGCAAAGCCCCCATTTTGAAGGGGGCTTCTTTGCTGGTGGTGAGGGCAACAGTTTTAGCATTTCTGCCAGGCAATGGAGAGTTGTCATTCCAGGAAGATTCTAGAAGAAGTTGAATTTACCTCACCACCAACTACCAGCATTCTTGGTTTTCTGCTGGGTTCATAGCTGAATCTTCTTTGGCTCTTGAAGAACACAGGAAGCTGCCTTATACCAAGTCAGAACAATGGGCTGTGTAGCTCAGCACCAGCAGCAACTCTCCAGGGTTTCAGACAGAGGGCACCCCAATTTACCTGAGGCATTGGACCTCAGGGCTTTTGCATGCAAAGCAGATGCTCTACTAGTGAGCTGCAGCCCTTCACTACACCATCAGACCACTGAACCATCTAGCTCAATACTGTCTGCACTGATTGTCTGCAACTCTCTGGGGATTTTAGATAGGGGTCTTTCTCAGCCCTTCCTGGAGATGCCAGGGATTGAAACTGGGGCTTTCTGCATAAAATGTAAATGTTCTACCACTGAGATACTGCCCATCTCATTCAACCTTCTTCCTCATCCCAAGTAGACCATTCATTCCAATGTGAAACGAAGATTCCTGGCAGACAAGCACTACTGCACCAACTCTGGGAAGACATGAGACAGAGAAACAATGATTAGTCCAAGATAGAGCCCTGAGACCCTTGTCAAGCAAGAATCCCCCAGCTCAGAAATCTTGACAGGCTATACTGCTAGAATTGGCAAAACAGTGAATGTATCTGCTGAAGAATAATCTCCTAGCTGTAGTTATTACTATCATTAGCTTTACAGCTATTTGGGGATATTACTGGCCTTTTGGTGTGTTTTATGTCTATTTAATTTTCTGTATTTTTAATTATTAATTATTGAATTGTTAATTTAGTGTTGTAAACAGTATTATCATTTTAATTATGTATCATGATTACTGTATTGTCTTCAGACTGTTATTTGGTTGCAAACCACTTTGAGCAGAAATTTGTAGAAAACGCAACATGGGAAAAGAAGCAAGCTTGTGCATAGGGCTGGCCCACCCATGAGGCAAGGTAAGGTGACTGCCTCAGGCAGCAGGATCCAGAGGGGCAGCAGATGTCAATGTAGATCTTTATTCCCCTCCTTGTTCCTGATGTAGATCTTCACTTACTCCTTCTTCCCTAGTGAGGAGAAGGGCACCATTTTGTGGTTGGTTTCAGGTGCCAAAATGTATTGGGTTGGCCCTGTTTGTTTTGTGTTTGTACATTGTGTTTAGGATTGCAGTCTATATGTCATTCAATGAGCTGGATCCATGTGGGTGTACAGAAAAATCTACTTGTAATGTATTGAGCTGAGTGGTCAAGGTAAGAAATGTGGCTCAGAAAATATATTTCATTATGAGAAATTCAAATGAATCAACTTCATTGGTCTGGATGGTCTTTAAAGGAGGAGGAGAAGCTGGTGGTCTGTGTATTATTAACTCTTCAGGATCTATAAGTTGTGGCAATGATTGTGTGATTAACTATGGACCCCTGTTTTCCCCAGCTGCCCCCCCCCCATATTCATGTCTGGCTGAGATCCCTTTTGATACTGGATTAAGAAAACTGAATACAGCTCAACAAGCTCTAATCGATGCCTCCAAAATTGATATTCAGGAAACATCCCCACTTTGCTTCTAAACAAATAATTTCATCATAAGATAATTCTCAGCAAAACTACAATACATTTTCACAATGTGTTATGGGAGCTGGGGCTATTCAGTTCTAAATAATGGTTTCTTCACTCGACAAGTAAATTGAAATTGATTGGTTTCAGTCTCCTGTGCAGAAGCACACAATACCTATGCACAGCGATGCGATTGACTTCAGCACAACAGACCCCAGCCTTCCATTCTCAAGGACCCAGGGCAGAATTTTGCAATCACTCCCCTTCTGTACTGGAATCTTTGTGAACCTTGACTCTCTTTAAATGTCAGCTTGTGACAACAATACCTTTACAGAAGGGGAATTGGCCTCTTGTGTCGGAAAGTAGAATCCTGCATGTGGATATAGGGCAAAACAAGAAGAGTTTTTTAAAACAATAAAAATGATGAATTAAATGAAAAGGTTATGCACCTCCTTTATACATTATAGGCGAAATAGATTAAAAAGTCTTGGCTATACAGAGAGAATGTGGCAATCAGTTCAACCTTCTGTGTGTTTGTGCAAGATGAAGCAGTCTTACACACATTTACGTGAAAGTAAGATGTATTGAACTTAATGAAACTGTTTCCAGACATGATAGCATTGTGCTGTATATGTATGCAGTACACCTCACAGACACCCCAGTTACCAAGAAAGAAACACCACTTTTCATTTACCCCTCCCCCAGGGTCTCATTCCTGTTTAGTCACCACCAGTTCTGACCCTTGAAGTTACATGTGGAATTGCTGCTGCTGCTGCTGCTGCTGCTGTTGTTGTTGTTTTGGCCTGAATATGGGTCACTTTACACTTGCCTATACGGAATTGCATTTACCATTTTACTGCCCATTCAGCCAGTTTTGAGAGGTCCTTTTGGAGCTCTTCATAGTTTTTGTTTGTTTGTTTGCTTGCTTGCTTTAACAACCCTGAACAATTTAGTATTATCAGCAAACTTGGCCATATCTCTTCTCTCTCTTAACCCTAGACAGTGGTGTAGAAAGTGGGGTGCAGTGGGTGCAGGCTGCCCCAGGGGGGTGACAAAATGGCAAAAATATGGTGTGTGGTTTTTTAAAAAATGGGGCTCACGAATCTTTTTAGTTCAGTCAACAAACGTAATGAAACGCGGCTGGCAGCATGCCTGATCCACACTTCTCTCCTGGGAGTGACATGGTGGCTTGGGCGCCTGCAGGCTCCATGGCAGCATGGGGCATGCGTCCGCCCACCGCCTCTCCTTCAGCTGCCCTACAGCTGAGGGGGAGGCAGCAGAGAGGCTTTGCACAGTGTGCCCTGCCCTGGCTTGCCCCGTCCTCATGGGCTCCACCCCCAGGTGCAGGGCGCGTGCACTACCCTGGGCACCCGAGCGGCTAGCTACGCCGTTGACTCTAGATAACCTATTTACAAGTTACAAAGCACAGGTTGCAATTCTGAGCCATTGGGAACTCCACGTTCTACATCCCTTCATCAGAATTCTCCATTTATTCCTGCTCTCTGCTTCCTTTTATGCAACCAGTTTCTGATTCACAAGAGGACTTCACCTGTTATCCCATGACTGCTAAACTTACTCAGGAATCTTTGGTGAAATACTTGGTTGAAAGCTTTTTGAAATTCCAAGTACACTATGGGTTTTGTGTTTTGTTTTTTATATAATTTTTATTCATTTTTAAACATATTAATTGTCATACATACCACAAAGTTTTACATCTTATACAATCTTTTTGTACTTCCATCAACACCTCTGCTGATCCCCCATTTTTATCATTTCTTCTGCATTTCTTAAGTTCATATTGCCTTTAATTATCTTCACTAATGTCTCCCTTTTTATCCAATTATGCAATAATTCAAATTATTCACCTCACAAAACTTCTTGCAAACCTACAAATGTAATCTGGTCATCACAATTACTTTTCAAATAGTCCGTAAATTTACACCAATCTTCTGTGAATCTCTGATCCCGCTGGTTTTGAATTCCTCCTGTTAGCTTGTCTAATTCTATTTGTCCATCAATTTCATCCTCCAATCTTCTTTGGTCCCGCTGGTTTCGAATTCTTCCTGTTAGTTTGTCTAGTTCTGCATAGTCCATCAATTTCATCCTCCAATCTTCTTTCGTCGGTAATTCTTCTTGTTTCTATTTTTGTGCCAATAATATTCTTGCTGCCGTCATTGCATATAAAAACAGCTTACAGTCCTTTCTATTTATATCATCTCCTACAATGCCCAGTAAAAATGCTTCTGGTTTCTTAATAAATGTATATTTCAAGTACACTATGGCAACTGGATAATCTCTTATATGTTTGTTGATATTCTTAAAGAACTGTAAAAGGTTTGTGAGACAGGGCTTAACCTTGCAGAAGCCATGCTGGTTCTGTTTCAGCAAATACTGGTGTTGAGAGATGAAATTCTAGGCCTAAGAGACAATAAATAAATAAATGGACAATTCACCATGTCTGGATGGCATCCACTCGATTGTTCTCAAAGAATTCAAATGTGGAATTGCTGATTTTCTAACAGTTTCTTGGGTTGCTGAGTTTGTTTTTCTAAGCGCTCGTGAAAATTCATCAGCATTTTAGAAATAATTTCTCCTAATATACATATTTTTGTATGCCATTTTTCTTATATACACATTGTACAAGCACATTATTTCATCTCATTTTTAGTAATACATTGTTACACATATTTTCCCCCAACATACACATTTCTGTACAAACTGTTTGGAGAACTGCATTGAAAAAGATGCATAAATGTGAATTTTGAAGTATAAGCTGGATTTGGTTTGCATATATTAAAAGAAAGTGTAAATCAGGTTGAGTTTGCATGAAATACTAAATGAACCGTGTCCTAAGTTGTGAGTTAAAGAAGGCTTACATTAATTTGGGGGTTCTGTATTTGGTTCTGGTGGTTTACAGTCACAGACAATGAAATGAGCAGCTTAAAGATGGTCTTTCTGTCTACCCATGAAGGGCAAGTTCTCTTTATTAAATTCTAAGTCATCTTACTCTTCTTCAGAGATCTGTGAAAAGGATCTTATATTAATGTTTTAGAAACGTGCAAATTAATTTCAGTATAATTGTTGAATTAATAAGTTAAGAGGTACATGTTTAATCAGCCAAAGATTCTTTCATTGGCTGACAATCTTCATGCATTATATTAGTTTAACAATTAAGCCAAGCTTAAAATAGCAATAGGAATTCAGTTAGTAATTGACTGCTTCTTTATTCATTCAGCCTCGACCTCCCCATTACATGGAATTCTATCTTTCTTCTACCTCTTTCATTCAGAATCAGCCTAAGAAGGATGTGAGTCCTACTAGAGTAAGAGTAGGCCTCAACTACTTGATGCTTTCTCCTCCAGTCATTTTTTCAGTTCAAAATCACCCTCCCTACTGTGGGGAAAGACTGGGGTTTCAAGGCTGACAAAAATCTCAGAAAGTTATAAAATAGCTAGTTATAAAATAGCTGTATTTGCTCCTTGGAAAGCCTTTTATGGCCAGGGGGGGGGTAGTGGAAGTAAAGGTGTGCATTGTATGTTTACTGTATGGCGTGGTGGTTTGAGTGCTGGACTAGGACCTTAAGAGACCAGGATTCAAATCCCCACTCAGCCAGAAAGCTCACTGGGTGACCTTGGACCAGTCACTATCTTTCAGATCAAGCTACCTCACAGGCTTGTTCTGAGGAGAAAACTGGAGAAACATGTATACCCCTTTGAGCTCTTTGGAAGACAGGTGGGATGTGAATGTAACAAATAAACCCACTTGTATGCACCTTGTTTGCGTTTTAAAGCCTTTCCCAACAGCCTTGCTTTATGGCAGCCCTGCTTCATGTCAGAACTAATTCTGCACACAGGGATTTCATTTCTGACTCAAGAGGGCACTTTCTCCTTCACAGGGCTATTGATATCACAGGCTAGCATTTATAGAAAGTCTGGGTTCGCAATGGTTCCACTACAGAAGGAGAAGGGTTGAAGAATTCTACTGAGTCCAAGCAGGTACCAGCAGCTGGATTCAGTCAACATACCATGTTGTTTTCAAGCACCCTCAGTGATAATCTCAGAGTCCAGGTATGATGGTTTATGTCTACCGCCACCTAACATTCCTTGGCCAGCAGATTTTTAAATGGTGCAACGCCTTACAAGAAAACACCCGCACATACATTAATTATCAGCATCCAAAACTCTCTCATTTCAATCTTTTAGCAATCCATGATAGCTCAGTTGGTGGGGCATGAGACTCTTAATCTCAGGGTCGTGGGTTTGAGCCCCACGTCAGGCAAAAGAATTCTGCATTGCAGGGGGTTGTACTAGATTATCCTCATGGTCCCTTCCAACACTAATCCTATGATTCACACTCAGGGCCAGCAGTAGACATTGTGCCAATGTGCCATCCAAAGCAACTGCTGTCCCACTTACTTCCTCTGCCCCTTGTCAACTGCACAGCTGCCACTAGCATGGTAACAGCACTGACCATGCATTGACTCCAGCTCCCAGTCCCTTTATGCTGAGAAAGGTCTAGGGTTCCTTCAGAGCAAGGCATTCTGGGCAGGGTGGCCCAGAAGATTGCCTGCTCCACCATGGCTTGGTTGCCATGGCCATCCCTACTTGCACTGGAGCAATGCCTCTCAATCTCTCCTACAATTAGGAGCATAAGAAACTGCCTCCTACTGAGTAAGGTCACTGATCCATTTAACTCAGTATGGCCTGCTTGGACCTGCAGTGGCTCTCCAGTGATTCAGGCAGGATCTTTCTCAACCCTATCTGGAGGTGTTGGGGATTGGAATTGTGAGGTGGGGGTGCTGTTCAGAGAGCTACAGCCCTTCTCCTGTTAATCACTCTCTCTTAACAAGGAGAGGAGTGGGATTATCTGCTGCTGTGGCCTATACACATTCACACAAACATCCACCACTGTCACATCTTAGAATACGGAATTTGGTAGAGTTAGTGGACAATTCTTTAAAATACTCTAATTCCATTAGCAATGAATGAGCTAGGCTGAAAAAACCCTCAGCATTTGGTTATTGATAAAATCAATTCAAATTAAACTACACATTAGCATTGCAATATTAATATGCACATATCTGTATGCAATTGTCTCTGATATACATATTCTTGCAACACATTTTCACTGATATAATTCATTTTTAAATGTTATTTCCACTAATACATGCATTTGTACACTTTACCATAAATGTATTCATTTTAATACACGTTACTTAGCTGCATTTCAAAATTCAGAGAACTGCACATTTCAAAGAGGGTAGTGTTTCGTTTCACATACTGTTGCAGAAAGTAATTTGATCTAAATTTGTCCCCCATCTCTAGTGATTGCATAGCATTGTTCTGATGGGGACATCTGGGTTAAAAACATAACAGCCTACACTGCTGGAAGTCAACATCCAGAGACCCAAGGTTGAAGAACCATATTCCAGGGTGTTTCTGGGTAAGAGGATCATGGCCACTATCAGGTAGCAGCCAAGGGAGAGTAGTCTGCAGCCAGCCAGTTTTGCTCTAACTTTGAATATCACTTTTACCCTCAAAATTAATTTGACCCCATTTTTCCACCTCAATTTTGACATGGAAGTTCTCATTAGAGAACTTTTGTCCCTTCTTAACTGTCCCTGAGACATGTTGAGCATATGCCACTCAGAAATAATTCCAGGTATCCGTCTCTTCATAAACAGCCTTGTTAATACCATCACTTCTAGTAGATTAATTTTTTTAATATCTTCTCATTCCAAATTTAGTGCTGCATGTAGGAGTTCTTACCTTTTTCCAGGTTACTCAGGCAGAAGTATTCATTTAATTCTCCCAAACGGAGTTATAAGGGTTTAAAATTACCTTCACTCTCCTGCCTAACCTTTCTGTCTCTTTGCTCATTTATTTCTCAACCAGTGGCAATGGACTGATATAAAAGATTACACAATCTGTGTTAATCAAGCCATTTGTGCAGAGACAGAAAATACTGTTTAATTAAAGGGGGGAGGAGAAATGTTTAAGGCTGAGAGAGAGAACTGTGCAAGTATGTCACTGCATTAACACAAACCACTGAATGTCACCTATATTAATTTTTGTTTTGTGGAACATGCATATTCTTAGGATCAATGTTCTTTAGAAATACGTTCAATCTAAAACCTAAAAGCTGTGCTTCTCCGCTAAAACTTCTGCAAATATTTATATTACTGAAAAGTTGCCTTTTCCTGGCTCCAGAACATATTGTTCAGAGGGTGCTATGTGAGGGTTCACCACTGAAAAGGCCCTCTCTTTAATCACCACCTCCCCAACCTCTGACATTCTGAGGGGAGCCTCTGTAGATGAAATTTAAGACCCAGGTGAGCTGGTAAGGTGCTGGGGTCCCAATCTGTGTAAAGCATTATAGGGTTTGGGGTGTTTTGTTTTGTTGTTTTTTAAACAACCTTGAATAATATCTTGTGTTAAGAATACATGAAGAGCCTGCTGGATCAGACCACTTGACTGACGTAAGTAGTTATGCTGCTAGTAGGTTGTTAGGTTTTGTAAGGAAGTTACAAAAGTTGTAAGGAAATGAAATATTGTTTTTTAGTCTTGCTCTTCACTCTGGGAACATGGTATCAATGAAGAGTGGAGAATAAATCATTTAAACAGGATAATTAAATAGTAAATTATACTATGGTAAAACTTGTATTAATTGCTCTCCATTTTTACCCCTGGCCCTGCCTACCAATTGTTGCCCATACGGAGATGCAGCCCTTTGTCTGAAAAATGTTTCCCCACTACTGCTTTGGTTAATGATTGCTGGAGGTTGTAGCCTACTCTATGCATTAAGGATCCCTATTTGAAGTATTTGGAGTTTTAATCATATTTATCTTATTTACTCTTGTTATTAAGTGGAACTTTAATTGCAAATGTTTAATTTGGATGGGTTGCATGCCCCCCACCCTGATATTATGATGAAGGGCAGGCTACTTCGAAATATTTTAAATAAATGCCAGTAAGTATAAGTAGAAGCAGGATATTTTTCCAACTGAGATTATTCACTAAGTGAATCTATGGGTGAGACATTGATGATTGAGCAGAACAAGAGTGGCTTTAAACTTCACTGCACACACATATGGCATCAGTACAAAAACAAAGCAAAGATCTGAATAATATCCAGGTGCAACATTTGTGACATCTTATAACTGAGATGTCTATTCAGTACTTTAAATAACTTTTATCTTTTTAAAGGAAATCACATGCTAAATACGGGGAAATCTTAGCAATCAGTAGGAAACTTCATCCAGGAAACAGCTGTTACATATCTTGTGTGTTTGTGTGTATGTATAACATTCATTTCCAGCTTTGCCCCTTTGATAGTCTGATATTGAAGAAGCATATAATTGTATTGGGCCCCTCAATGCCTCTTCTGGAAAAAGTTTGTCAAGCACAACATTATCTGCCATCACCCTCTCTGATGGTATGACTAGCCCTGATCTGGGGCAAAATCCAGGCAAAGGGGGTTTCAGAAGTATCCTTGGTTCCTGAGACATGAGGAAGATCTCCTTCAGAAGTCCCACTAAGATTAATGGAAGCCTTGCAAGACCACCATATTGTTCACTTAGCAATTTGACTAAAAGTTCAGCACAAACTCAGGGTGACTGTTTAGAGCCTGCCAATGCCCCCTGAGCAAGCACTCTTGTTATTCTGGAAGTAATTGTGAATGTTAAAAGGTATGATGTGAGCTTTGCTACAAAAAGAAATACATAACACTAAAAATACCCCAGTGATCCATGCACGTTGCCATCGTGTCTGACAAATTCAATTAAGTCAGTCATACATCATTTCCCCCAGTGTTATCGATAGAGACACAGCAGTATTGAATTTTAATTATTCAGCACGTATCGATCCTACAATAATTTGGCGAGAATGATTTTCGAGTTGTCAGTCCCCTCAAGAGGCAACAGCTATTATCTAATTATATATCACACAGTGTCATTTGAGCAAAAAGGGAAAAAGTCCTGCAAATTTTTACAGACAAGAGACTCACACATAGCTCACAGTGACACGAGTGGCTGTAAAGAAGAAGTGGCAATGGCCTTTTCATTTGTATTGAGAGGGGGAAATGCCATGTCAGAATTACACTTTGGAGAAGTTCACATTTTATACAATTCACTCGACAATTGCTGAGCAAAGGCCTTCTTCCACAGATCCATGCGGGCATACAGCTATGTGCAGTGATATCTCCATTCCGTAACCTGTTATCACTTATGATCATCTCTCTCTGAAGTTGAACAAAGGAAATTATTGAGCCATGAGTAGCCCCACGATACACACAGCATTAATCACATGTAATTTCCCCATGGGGCTAAATGCAGCTGGGAAGACAAGGAATTTAGAAGCAGAATACTGACAAGGGGGAAAGAGTACATACTCCTTTAAAAAAATAAATGCTGTTCTAACTTTTAAAAGATGTTGCTCAAGTTTTAAAAAATGGAACATGGGGAAAACAACATGGGATTAACAACATGGCCTCCAACTCCCATCAGCCCCAGCCAAAACGGCCAACAGTCAGGGAAGATGGAAACTGTAATCCAGCCACCTGTGTGGCAGATGCACGTGTGGTGGCCTTGCTCCTGAAAGAATAATTGGTCATACAGCCACACGTTGTGAATGCAAGGTGCCCTAAGGCAGTGTTCTTTGACCTTTGGAGCCCAGATGTTGTTGAACTTCAACTCTCATCACTCCTAATCATTGACTAGGCTGGCTGAAGAACATATTACCGGTTGTGGATGTGGGTAAAATTCCTTCCCAGGCCCATCAACTAGCAGCTAACAGAAGTCTGAAAAAGAGGCTGAAATCCGAGGGAGGGAAGATAAGGGTTGACTAGTGATAAGAAGAGGATGCACTGCACTCAGAGCTGTACCTAGGTGATCTTGTGCCCCTGGCAGAACCGTCCAGATTGCGCCCCCTAGCCACAAACAAATTAGCTCTTCTCTCCGCCTCTCCTCCAACCCCCCCCCCACCGCACCCATTCATTTCCTCACACACTTCACCTTGTAATGAATTCTGATTAAAGGAGGACACCAAGATGGAGAAGGCTGACCTAGATGACATTATATAGGAGTCTCCCTACTTATGCACAGGTTACATTCCAGGACCCTGCATGCATGTGAAATCGCATAAAGTAGGGAGCACCCCTCTTTAATAGGGAGAAGGGCATGGGAGCCAATTCCTTGGGGCCAAGTTTCCTTCACTCCCCTAAAATATTTGAGGAGGTCCCCCCCGCCCAGTTAATGGGCATTGCCATTCAAATAGTGTGTGTGTGTGTGTGTGTGTGTGTGTGTGTGTGTGCGCTCCATCTCTTGATTATACAGCCCTGACTGCACTCCCATTCCTGACTTTTAAGGTCAGGGGAGAGCTGAACATGATGGAAGGTTTCCCTTGCCCAACCCAGCCCTATTCCTACTCAGGCAGTAACCAGCACCTAGTTGACCCCCAGGCAACATGGAATGACTTATGCTTCAGCAGAATTGGGTGCTGGGCAGGGAGGTAGCAGAGGCCCCTCCCATTATTACTGTGTGTAATGCACAAAGTGCCCCATCCCAGGGGCATAGGAAGGGGGTGCAAGGGGTGTGGGTCACCCTGGGTGTCATTCTGAAGGGGGTGACATTCGGGGTGGCCCCCGCCTGCCCATGACTCCCCCAAGTTCGGCAAGCAGTGAAGCAGCTGCTGCAGCTCTCCCCCTTCCCCCCGGCTTGCTGTAGGCTTGGAAGTCACGGGGGGCTGCTGAATGTCACCCCCTTTCAGCCCAACCCAAGACTCCCCCAAGCCCAGCGAGTGGCAAAGCAGTGAGCACAAGCGAGAAAAGCGACGAAGCAGCTGCTGCAGCTCTCCCCCTTCCCCAGCTCACTGTAAGCTTGGGAGTCGTGGGGGGTGCCGAATGTCACCCCCCCTTCAGCATGAAGGAGGTAACATTTGGCGACCCCCAGCCCCTGGGATGATCGCAGTGTTGCGCCGATTGGCCCCTTGAATGAATCTCCCTGCCCCTTGGGCGATCACCTCATGCCCGGGTGCACGGCATGTGTGCTGCTCTGGGTGCTCCACCCAGCTCCGCCACTGCCCCATCCCACTTATGTGGTTGAAACTGATTATGCCTATACACTGATGCAAAGGCTGCTGAAATTGTTAATACTCAACATTCCACCAGTCTTTATCTAATCAAAGCATTATGGTCTGAGGGATTTTAAGTGTCCTAGTTCAAACTCCCCCTAAAGCCTTGACCTTCCTTCTTGGTTATATAGGAACAAGATAACTCTTTCTCTCTCTCTTTTGCTCTCTCATGCACATAGAAGGTATCGACTTTCCAGGACTACCCTACACTTTTGTTAGACTTCTATGTTCCACTTAATGCATAGCATGCAACTATGCTATCTTCTTAGTCTTAAATGAACTGAGCCAGACCCTGCAGCAAACTTTTAAGGCCTTTCTTTGTGTGACACCACACACACACACACACACACACACACACACGGAGGGTGGCAACACAAGAATGGGACTTTTCAGCAGTGTCCCCTTGCTTATGGAATGCTTTCTCCAGAGAGGCATGCCTGACACCATCTTCATCCTTAGGCAGCTAGCAAATATTTTTCTCTTTATCTAGGCTTGTGGCCCTTAATTTGAAGGACGGCATTGTGGCCTCTTTTCATGGGGACAGGACCCGTAGATCTGCTTTCTATTTGTATAGCTGTGTCTTTAGGTTTTTATTGATATTCTTAATTGGTTCTAAGTCACTTTGGGTCACTCTGCAAGAAGAGGAACCAACAAATACAATAATTAAAAATTAATTGCAACTGCAAGGAGCGGTGGTTATCAAGATAACAGTGTGTGGGGAGGTGTGGTTTATCCCTTCTGTCCCTAGCCATGAACACCCACCACCCAATATATCTCTCACCACCCCTCTTAGACCAGAGGGCATCATTAAACTGTTCCCATTTGCACCATTGGAAGGGAGGGATGCTACTGAGTCTCATATCCAGGCAATATCCAGCAGTTGCTGCTGGGGAGGGGAGTAATACACTTCACTCCCCTGTGTGGAGGGGTTGTATCCAACTAAGTTCTACTCAGAGTAGACCCACTGAAATTGATGGGCCAAGTTAGTCATTGCCATTCATTTCAGTGGGTCTACTCTGAGTAGGACTATCATTGGATACAACCCAAGAATTCCCCTAACCCCACATTAGCTGCAATGAAGGAAAAAAGGAGACATAGTTGCACAGCATATTTATGTGTAACATGTAGTCTGACTCTTTGCAGTGAAAGAGGACTCAGCAACATCCATCAATTACGGTATATTGCTATAACTGCATTATAAACATGTGGCACCAGATGATGATGTAGAGCAGTGATTTGCCGCCAATGGGATTTTCCATTGACAGCTTTTATTAGGTGTTTTTCTATAGCGTTTTTTAAATCAGTATACAGTAGATCTAACCAGCCCGTCTGTGTTAGATCTCCTGAGCTTAACAAGTCTTGCACAATTCCCCTTCCCCAAATCCTCCTTGCATTTTTGGTGTGTGTTTTCCCCCCAGCAGACAGACCCTCTGCTTAGCTTTCAAACGCTCTTCTGCCTAGCTACATTTTTCAACTTCTCAGCTGGATGCCAACTCTTGCACTGCACAACCCCTGAACTCAGGGTGATTCCAGAAGTGATCGTGCTGGGATGAACTCAGCTGGAATGAACACACACACACACACACACACACACACACACACATTCTTCATAAAGACAAATGGCACAGCAATACTCTTTTGGAAATGGCTTTATATAGCAAGGACAGAAATAAGCAGCTGACCACAGCTTCCTCCAACAGTGTTGTCTAGAGGGCTAGATTGCAGCAAATGTTACCTTGAGAGGTTTCTTTCCTTTTTTCTGCAAAAACCTTATAATATAGAAACAGATATAAAATAAATGGTGGGTGAACAGAGCCTCCAAACGGGGTGGTTAAATATTTAGAAAATGACACTCAACTCCCACTCACTTCAAATGGAGACACATTTTTTAAAAATGTAAAAGGTTACTGCTGGTTTGAGGGCAATTTAGGAACTACTGTAGATATATTTTTCATATTGAAAGAGAGACATTCAAAAAAATCTGGACCATCTGAAAAAATTGAGAGGGAAATGACATCAGGAATTCAGCACAGAAGACTGGAATGGCAAACTTGTGCAAAACAAGAGTTACATATTGTAATTGCTAACAGGTTAGTACTTATTTAAGTGGATGTGAGCATATATGTCAGATTCATTGCCACCTTGAAGATTCTCTGTATTCTTCGTTATAATGTGAGTTTGTATTTCCCCTTTCCTATAATCTGAGTAAAGTTGCTGCATATGCCCCTGATTTGTATATGGGGTGAAATATTGCAGTTCAACAACCTCTGGATGCCACCACACTGGCAACCTGTGGTGTAGATCAGAGTAGAACTGGAGAGACTTTGAAATTCAGTCATTTTCTCTCTGCTTAACCAACCTTACAAGGTTGTTGTGAGAATTAAAATGGTGGGGAGTAGAAAAGCATATATGTCATATTGTGAGCTGTAAGCAGGAGGGTGACTTATGAATATAGTGAAGAAACAGAGCCCATGGCCACAATCCCAAGTATTCATCAGCATGGAAACACTCAACAGAATATTGAGGATAGGGGTGGGGAGTGGCTCAAGCGGAACTTTTCTACAATGCGTACCTTGTGATTCCTAAGCATTTGTCCATACTGCTAAATAATGGGTGCTTGCTGAGATTATCCATTGGCAAAGGAAATATACTCTGTATAGGCTGACGAGTGCTCTTATTAAATGACATGATGAGTCTTGCTACTGGAAATTGATCACCTTGGGTTCCAATTAATACCTGACTGTTCCAATAATTATTTCAGAACATTTTTCTTTATAAAAGAGAGAGAGAGAAAGAAAGAAAAGAAGGAAAGAAGCAGTTTAAAACCTGCCAAGTTGTTCAGAGCCCCAATCGTCACATTTCCTTCAGTAAATGTGAGCAGCTTTCCAACAGAAGCTCACAGGTGCACCTGAGATCAACATCTAGCTGAAGGCAAAAGAAAAAAAAATAGGGCAATTAAGCAAGGGCTGTGAGATGTTTGCAAGGCAAAATCCTCTCTGAAAGGCTCCATCAATCAAAACCCCTTATTATCTCTGAATGTGACATCAAATCCATGTAAAGTATAATACATTTTCTTGTCAGTCAGACACCTGACATTATGTGTCATGTATCTAATTATTCAGCTGTATGGGGAGGGGGAAATTCAGTGCTTGAACTACTAGCAGAGCGAAGAGATGGGCAAACATCCTAGAGCACAAGAAAAGCCCTGCTGCATCAGAGCAAAGGCCCATCTGGCCCAGCATTCCGCTCTCATGGTGGTCCACTGGTTGCCACTGGGGGAACAGCACCTTCCCCTGCCCAAGTGCCATGAGACTGATTGAAATTGTTACCTCACCCTATGGATGTATCCCCCCCCCCCAAAAAAAAGAGCTTTGTTGAATTTTATGAAAATGCATGTTACACAAATGTAACAAACAAAAACTGAATGCAATATTAGGCACAATGAAATCAGTAAGTAGTAGGAAAAACCATTTCGGCCATGAATTGTAAATGGGGAAAAAGAATAAAGACTCCAAAGAACTTAAACCTCTTTCACTACTCAGCTTCATTGGATAACCCAGGTTGCAATGTTATGAGAGGAAGAAAAGCCTCTTTCTGTCTACTTTCTCCACACCATGCATTTTATACATGAAATGAAAAAGCCCCAAACATTGTAATCTGGAGAAGAATTTACAGTTCTTACAGACCATTATGCCTTGAAGTGGCTTCAAACAATGTACGGTAAAAATACAAAATTGCAACTAGGATTGTGCATCTTGCAGGAATTCAGCTTTAAAGTGGAACATTTCCTTGAGAAACAAAATCAAATTGCAGATGTGTTTGTCAAGACAAGATTTCTTCACTCTCTGATTTGTTTTGACATCCCACACTGTATCCCATATGGAATAATAGTGTTTTGCTTATTAAGAAGGTGGAGAAATTTCCAGCTGTGCACTCATCAGTGGCACCCAGTCTGTTATCCAGTAGAAGGATAACTTCCAATTGTTCATAGATGACAGTTTTCTAATGGTATATTGGTCAGCAATGCCTGCAACAACTACTGAGTGCTGCACTGTACTGAGGGTTTCGTATGAAACTCCCTAATTCAGAGGTTTGGGGGATTCCTGAGGATGGAGAAATGAAGATGGTGAACTTTTAACAAACTGAAATATTCATCTAGAGGAACTTGAGCTTAACAAGTTCATTTCATAAATGGACAAAATTATACTAAAGCCAATTCCTTTTTTTGCCGAATGATAAGACATCTTTGTTCTCAGTCCCTGATCAGCTGAGCTCTACACATAATGCTCACAATCTGCATATGTCAGTAGGCTGCCTGAGAGTTCAGACAGTCTGCTTCAAGTCAACTGAAACCTGGAGGATTGTGCTACAAGGATGACCATCTTCTGACATCTGTCACCATGACCTAGTCCTGCTGGCTGCAATGACCTCATCTTTCTCCCCCCAAAAAACCTCTTGCTGCATTAATAAAGAGAGCACCAGCAATAATAGCACAGAATGATTATTTAATGAAGTGTGGGGAACCATACCAATGGAAGTTTCTCTTTTAAATCCAAGTTACAATTATTTTTATACTTCCAGTCCAAGAACTAAAATAAATACCTGAAGTTAAACAGAACCTCCTGTTGTGTAGGCAGACCAGATGAACTGACCTGGACCCTGCAGTCACCATCTGAGGCTGTTCTATGTGTTCCCCCTGTGTGAGAGATACAGAGGGCGGCAACACGAGAACAGGCCTTTTCTGCAGTGGTTCCCTGTTTGTGGAATGCTCTCCCTAGGGAGGCTTGCCTGGCACCTTTCAAGTCTTTAGGTGCCAGGCAAAAGCATTCTTGTTCTCCTAGGCCTTTTGCTAATAAAACAATCTTTGGACTTTTAAATTGTGGCAGGTATTGTTTTTGCTTTTTACTTTGTTGTGCATTATTGTGCTTTTATATTGTTAACTGCCTCATGACCCTTAGATGAACAGCAGTAGAGAACTTTAATGAGGAAGAGGAAGCAGAAAACCCAGAACATGGCTGAGATTAACAATTGCCAAGAATCCTAAGCATGCTAACTTTGGAGTAAGCCCTCCTGAATTGCCTTAGCCCCTGCCTGGACAGCCAGACAGAAGCACCTCCTCCCAGATCCCTCCCAGATGCCCCTTTCTTTGGAGGGGCAGACAGAAGCTTACAACCTCCCCTCCAACCAAGACTAAGGCCAATCCACCAAAGTGGTGACAATTGCTATGAGGTAGGAAAAACCCTCAGATGGGGCCAATTTAGCCTGAAGGAAAATTTCTGCCCGGCCCCAAATATGGCAACCAACAATGTCCATGGCAAGGTCAAGTAAAACAAGACAGAAAGAGAAGGTGGGAGGCGAATCCAACAAGGAACTGCACGAAGTGGAAGAGGCAGGCCTGTTTATATGCTCCAGGAGTGGATCCAAGTGAAGCCTATTGGCTCAGTTGGGGCTGCCGCTGGCCAGCCCCTGCCTCCCAGGTCACCTGCCATGGGACAATTCGGCCAGCACACCTACAATCTGCTTCCCAGCCAATGGGGAGGGCCAGTTTGGTTCCCCATCAGCCGGGAAGCTTTCCCCATGCAGTTGCCATGTTGGATAGCATGGAGGACTTGGTAGCTGGCCCACAACACCACAGCACCAGAGATAAGGTAAGCCAACATCTAGATACACTGAGCTAAAAGAAGTTCTGGTTCTTTAAGCAGAGAATACAATAGACGCATGAAAAGCTTGTCCTTATGTCATGAAGATAAGATGAATGGAGGAAGAGAGTTGATACCCTCAGAAATCCAGTCTCTAGGCCAAATCTCCAGAATGTCTGGAATACTACACAAATGTAATTCCAAAAAATGAACTATCCAATCAGAGCTCCATGTCACAATACCTTTCTGCAATCCTATTTATGGTGTGCATTATTGAGTGGCCAGTGTCTTAGGAGTCACATAAAAGCAACACAAAGTTTTTGTGAGTGAATGAGAAAGAAAGGGAGGCACCAAAGCTGGAGAATTTATGCAATCTGATTTTAAGGGTAAGAAATGGGGATGCTAGCTTAGCCTTCTCAGAAGGCAGCTGGTGCCCCCTGCAGGTCAATCTTTGTATTAGCCTCCTTAGTCCTGGTTGTGTGGAATTCTGCTTGGAATAACCAAATGCAAGTGTACAGTTGAACAAGTCAGGGGTTAGTTGCCTGAGTAGTCTGCCAATTAAAGTGAGTTTAGAAGAAAGGCTGACAGCTTTGTGATGAAGCCCTCTAAATTATTTACTTGCCTTCTGAAAGAAGCACACCTAGAAGTGTTTTCTCTCTCCCTCCTCCCCTCTTTCCTTTTAAAGAACAGCTTTGATACTTTTGCAAGATGAAAATAAGGTGAAAAGAAAATCATCCTTTAAAAAGATTCCTGAAGCTCCTCTTGACTGGGGAGGAAAAAAAGCCAAGCTCTTGTCTCCTACCTCTGAGTGATAGGAGATTCATTGTCTGCCTTTCAAGCTGTCTATTGTGGTTGAGACAATCTGCTCCTCCTCTAGCAATCCTATTGAAGCAACATAGCCATTTTATTTTATTTTTTGAAAAAGATTAATTGACTGAAATGCAACGAGACTGCAGAGCCCTGTTTTGCTCATGATCTTCGGGGTTGCTTTGTGCAAAGAGGTCAGCCCTTAGCCACGTTTGCGTGGAATTCTGGGAGATGGAGAAGGCACAAAAGCTATTTCAAGCCCCTGTTTATGACAAGGCTTTGTAGCCACAGTAATGAGACGGTGGGCTAAAGCGTGTATTATTCGAAACCATTTTGCAGTCTTGCAGCATGGAAAATGAAGACTGTGCCTGAAAGACTATCGTCTCTTTAATTCTGTTCAGAGGGAATAACGATGAAACACTCGGCCATAAGAGGATGTAATTGTCAGTGCAGTCACTTTAATCAAAGGCATCCGCAAACATTAACTGACAACTTGCCCATTGTTTCAAATTTGTTGCACTCTTCCTAGTTATTTTTTCCCATTTAAAGCAATGATCCGAATCAAAGGGCCAACTACATGCGGGTGAAATATCATTATCGATTGCAAACCCCAATCCCATAATGACTTTGTCTTTCAGTAAGTATTTAAGCAGACACTGATAATTACACAGCTCTATACAGTACAGATTTAGAGATAAACACCACCTCTAGTCATTGTAGCATGGATTTTTTTTTCGAGGGAGGGGGGTGGTCGCCTGTTGTTGCTACTCCAATTCCAACTCTCAAAAAATCACCATAGGTGTGTTATAAATAATAATTGTCTGGAGTAGGGATGGGGGAGAAATTTGATCCAGCTCACATTTAACTATGAACCTACCTAATTTGCACTTCCAAAACATTACATGAACTACTGTACAACCTTGTTTCAAAATTAGCATGTCTCCAAATTTTGGAGTGCAATTTTGCAGCCAAGTAATGTGTTTATACTAGGGTACAGTATGCATTAAAATGTACATGTTGGTGAAAATAACAAACAACAATGCATTATATTCAGGGAAGTTGCTTTGGGGGGAAATGTGCATATTAGGAAACATTGCATACAAGCATTACGAGAAATTCACACTAAAATGCTGGTGAATTTTCATGGGAGTTTTTATTCATAAAACAAAAGCAAAATCACAGATTGATGTAGAAATGTGGAGAATGAGTTTAAGAATAGAAAAAATGGGAAATGAAGAAAAACTAAAATTGACAGATTAACCCATTCCTAGTCTAGAGAAACAGAACAAGCACAACAAAGAATAAGAAGACAGCTGTCACAAATCCCAACTGTGAGTAAATTTTGATAAGCAAAAGCACAGCTTTACTTTTGGACTATTTTTGCAGCATGCCTGCATGGGGCTGTTTCTAGGGGGTGAGTTGGAAGAGCATCATTCAACATCTGCCATGCAGACAGGTGGCAGGCCAGCAGGGGTTGAATGTC